TCGCTGCCATTTGGAGAGCTAGCTGATGCAGAGACCTGAGCACCCACCAGCTACTGACTGAGCACGTGCCACTCACCAGCCCCTGTTCCGGTTAAGAACGGTAAGGAGAAGCTGAAAGGAAATGCAGTAGCTAGTACCTGGATTTCAACAAGGTTTCTCACAATTGTTTCATAGTATTCTTGTGGATAATATGGAGAAATGTGGGCTGAGGAGTGCAGGTCGGAGGACACATAGCTGGTTGTTCAACCTACAAAGGATATTGATCAGTTTCCACCCTGATAGAGGTCTCTAGTGGCCCTGGCTCTGCTTTTGGCCCCATCCTATCCGATTTTTCCCCCCAAAACTTACAAACCCCTGAAACACCTGGAACTTTTCTATATCAAGTAATTGTTAAAACTTTGTGACAGTCGCACTCACTCTAACACACACACACACACACACACATTTTTGCTGAATCATTGGAAAGTAGGTTGTAGACATGACACTTCACCTCTACAAACTTCAGCAGGCATCTCTGAAGGATGGTAACATTCCCCTAAAACCACAGTGCCATTATCATACCAAAGAAAATGAGCAATAGTACCATAATACCTAAGACACAGTGCACCGTAACATTTCCCCCAATTCTGAATGGCTTTCTTTTTTTTTTCTTTCAAGATTCCATCAGTGTTCACATATTTCTTCTGATTATCATGTCTCTTTTCGTTTCTTGACCTAAAATAGTCCCCTTGTCTTTTTTATCTTTCACCGGGTTGAGCTTTTTGAAGAGTCCCAGCTAGCTGTCTTTGTAGAATGCAGGCTGTATCTGATTGTGTGCTTATCATTAGATCTGGGTTTGCCAGAAGTGCTCCAAGGACCGGTGATGTTGTGTATTTCTTATTGCATCATACCAGGAGGTAAATGCATCAGGCACTCGCATTACTGGTGATGCTGCTTTATTTATTTTTTTAAAGATTTTATTTATTTATTTGAGAGAGAGAGAGGGGAGAGCATGAACAGAGGGAGGGGCAGAGGGAGAGGGAGAAGGAGACTCCCTGCAGAGCAGGGAGCCCCAGGAAGGGCTCCATCCCAAGACCCTGGGATCATGACCTGAGCCGAAGGCAGGCACTTAACTGACTGAGCCACCCAGGCGCCCCCGGTCATGCTACTTTAGGCCACTTGGTTAAGGTAGTGGCTGCCAGAGTTCTTCCCCAGAGATACATTTTCCTTTTGGTAATTAGTAAGTCACTTGTAGGACAGACTTTGAGACCTTGTTCATATACAGTTTCCCAAAAATCTTCTACCCAGTGGCTTAGCATCCACTGATTACCCTTGCTTGAACCGAGGCTTTCTGAAGTCTACTCTTTCTTCTACATTCATCAGCCAACATTCTTCTATAAAGAAAAGCTTCCCTTCTACCTCTTTTCTTTCTCTCTATGTGTTTTCCTGAGTTTCACTGCAGACTAATGGATTGTTTTATTTTGATGCATTAGGACCCATTACTTCAGTATGCTTTTTGATTCTCAGATTATCTCATTTAGTCATCAAGCTGGGCCTATGTCCTTTTGACGTGACCCCATTAATCTTTCATCACTTCCTTGCTTTTTGGCTCAAACAAAATGTCCCAGGCTTGCCTTCCCCAAGGAGACCTGGTACCTTTTATTGGAGAGTGGGTAATAGGTCTGCTCACCTAGTATGTTGTTTTTTTTTTTTAAGATTTTATTTTTAAGTAGTCTCTACACCCAACATGGGGATTGAACTTACAACCCCAAGATCAAGAGCCTCACGCTCTACCGACTGAGCCAGCCAGGCACCCCTGACACCCAATATTTTTTATCAATGACTCGAATAAAGGCTAAGAAATGATTACCAAATTTACTGATGATTCAAAACTGGGAAGGGAAGTCAAATTCTATGATAATAGAATGAATACTCAAAATGACCTCAATAGGATGAAATTTGGACCAGAACTAGTAGATTTAAAGGAGATCAATATGAAGTCCTGTGCTTAGGTTGAAAATGTTAATTGCATAATTTGAGATTTGGGGGAACTCTTTACTAGATGAAAGTTGGTATAGAAAAGTAGCTCTGGTTGTTAGCTGACATGAGCCAGCAGTTTCCATGACTCTTGGGTTACATCCATCCATCCAACCATTCATTCATTCGTGTAGCCAATACTTATTGAGAGTCTGCCATATGCCAGGCACTGTTCTAGAAGCTTGGGCCATGTTAGTTAACTCCCGAATAAGCAAAAAAATCCCTGCCCTCCTCGGGCGCCTGGGTGGCTCAGTCGGTTAAGCGTCTGCCTTCAGCTCAGGTCGTGATCCCAGGGTCCTGGCATCGAGCTCCGCATAGGGCTTCTTGCTTGGTGGGGAGTCTGCTTCTCCTTCTCCCTCTGCTGCTCCCCCTGCTTGTGCTCTCTCTCTCTCTCTGTCAAATAAATAAATAAAATCTTTAAAAAAAAAATCCCTGCCCTCCTCAGTCAACATTCTTGGTGCTGGGGAGTGGGGTCAGGTGGGGATTTCAGGCAATAATGAAAAACCACAGCAAAGGTGATGAGTGCTTTGAAAAATTTTCTCCAGGTAAGGGGATATGGGTGGAAGTTCAGATTCTTCAAGAAGGTGATCTTTGAGCAAGGGTCTGAAGGAAGCAAGGGACTCAATCATGTGGCTATCTGGGGGAAGAGTGCCCCAGGCAGAGGGAGTAGCCAGGACAAAGATTCTAAGAGGAATGGTTGGGGGTGTGCCTGAAGTAGAGTGAGTAGGGGGAGAGCAGTGGAGGATGTGGTGGGGGTGAGGATGGCACGGGGCCTTGTACACCACTGTAAGTCTTTGGCTTTTATTCTGAGTGAGACAGGGAACCCTTGGAGGGTTTCAAGCAAAGGAGTGCAATGACCTTACTGGTTTTGAAAGATTCTCGTTGCTGAGTTGAGAATAGGTTGCAGGGAAGCAGAGGTAGCTCTAGGTAGTTAGGAGGAACTTGCAGTAACCAGGAGAAAGAGGGTGCTGATAGTGACCCCCCACACACACACACACTGGGAGGTGGTGAATGGTCAGATTATGGATTACCTAGTGGGTCAGATGTGAGGAAATGAAATAAAGTAGTTAGGCAGCTTGAAGATGGACTTGACTTTAAATGAGATGGAGAAACTCACATGGGAGGAACCCATTTTGGGGAGGGAGAGGGGAGAGATCAGGAGCTTAGTGTAGGACATGTTGGATATGAGATGCCTGTCGGACAAGACAGCCCGATAGAAATGTTGAGGCCATCTGGAGTTTGGGACAGAGGTCCTGGCTGCAGATAGAAGCCTGAGTATAATTGGCTAAAAAACAGATTGACACCATTAATAGAGGTAAAGTGTCTAAGGCCTGCAATGCTAGAACCTCTGGTGGTTGGTGCTGCCCACATCCTGTGTGGAATTCTGTGTCCAGTGCTGGGCGCCCCTTTATAAAAGGGGTGCTACTAGCCTGGACCGTGTCCACAGAAGGGTGTTAGAATGGTGGAGGTACAGAAATCACAGAGCATGAGGAAGCCTGACTAGGAGAGGAGACCTGGGACCATGTGGGTGCTATGCCCATCTCCTGACAGCCACCCTGTGGGAAAGGAAGTGGCAGGCCCTGGGGGTGGGGTGAAAGTGACAGGTGGTGGCTCTGAGGAGGCTAGTTATGGCTGGGGGTGAAGAGGAACTTTCCAGCCAATTTCTAGAGAAACCATCACCACTGCCAGGAAATGACTAGCCTAGTGGAGGTTTTCAAACTACCTTTGACTTGAAGTACAGGAAGAATTACATTTTACTGCAACCCTGTGCACCTTTAGGAAAAGTTGAAACACGTTTCCCAACACTTTCTGATCTTCCGTGATCATTGCACTTTGATATTTGCTATTCTGCCTTTTTCCTTAAGATTTTATTTATTTGAGAGAGCGCACGTGAGCACAAGCAGGGGGAGAGGGAGAAGCAGGCTCCGCAGGGAGCCCCACCTGCTGCTGGATCACAGGACCTCGGGATCACGACCTGAGCGGACGGCAGACGCTTACGGGACTGAGCCACCCAGGCTATTCTCCTTTTTTAATGCTAATAGGAACCCACTAGGGGGTCCAGTCTGCAGTTTGACCTCCCCCCTCCAGTCTCAGCAGAACTAAGCCCCATCCCTGAGGATGTTAGGGGCCAGGATTGTGGTGGGTGCCTGTGGGATTCCACTCCAGCCTGAAGGAGTACTTTCACCTGCCAGGCAACGTGCAGCCTGTGGAGGAGGTCAGTCGTCCTTGACAGTACATTACATGTAGTTATCCCACTTAAGCTAATCTTGCTCCCCCCCCCCCCCCCCCCCCGCCAAGGTTTGGCTTCGTATGGACATCTAGACGGGGATGACCCCGCAGGGTACCTAGATCAAGCCCTGAGCCCGGAGTGAACGCCCAGCCAAGACCTAAGGTGGATTGACCCGTGCAGAAGTGAGACTCAGAAGCAACTAGCCTCGTCACCAGCACGGGCTCGGTCGATTCATTTGGTCACGGGCAAGTGGGTGCCAGGAGCACCAGCGTTGGGGGTGGAAGGGGTGGAGACGAAGGCCCGACCCTCGGGAGGCGCCCAGGGAGAGACCCACACGTTTGCCCAACGGCAAGCGCTCAGGGGGTCGCAGAGGAGCCGGAAGGGGTCGGGGAGGTGATGGGACTGCCTGCGAGGCAGGGGAGAAGAACCACGGGTCCGCTCTTCGCGCCCCCGTGCTCCTGCGGCCTCGGCGGCGACTGGTTGGCGTCCTCCAGGCGCGCAGCGAGCTCGGGCAGCAGGCGGCCGCCCCTCGGGCCTGCAGGGCCCCCGAGCGAGGAGGGGGCGGGGCGGGGCGGGAGAGGCGGGGCTAGCCGCCCGACTTCCTCCCTCTGCCCCGCCCACCGCGGGCCACGTGACGGCAGCTCCCCCCACCCCCCCAGGTCTAGCGGGCGGGGCTGCAGCCCGCGAGTCAAGTTGAGCCACCTGAGCCGGAGGCCGGAGGACGCCGTCGCTCCCCGCTGTCCGGAGCTCCGCGATGGGCCGGGGGAGCCGACCGTGCGCCCCGTGGGGCGCGCTGCCGCCCCGGCCGCCGCCGCTACTCCTGCTGTTCCTGCTGCTGCTCCCGCCGCCGACTCCGGCGCTCGCCCCTCGGATCAGCCTGCCGCTGGGTGAGCGCTGGGGCGACCCCGCGGGGGCGCGGGCTGGGGTCGGGGGGAGGGGAGGCGGCCTGGAGGTGCCTGTGCGGAGGCAGCCGTGACAAAGGAGGGAGGGAGGAGGGGGCCTGTCAGAGGCCTGGGGTCCATTAGGACCCCTCCTCCTTTCAGAGCGCTGCGGGGAGGGAGAGAGAGGAGAGGGCAACTGTGCGGCCGCGGGCCCCTTTCTTCCCTTCCTTTAGAGGGCGGGGTGGGGGGGTGTCTCGCGCCCGCTCTGTCGTCCAAGCTCGCCCCTCGGTAGGGCGTCCTTTTCGGCGGTGGCAGCTCCCCGCCCCCACCCCCGGTGCGGGCTACCCGCTGGTCCGCCTGCCCATCTGCTTGTCTTTGATGCTGACCAGAGCCCGCCGCGGTGCCGCCCCCGAGGGCGTCTCGGGGTGGAGGGGGCCGTGCTTGCCGTCCCATAAACACTGGGGTTCTGGTATTCCAGCAAGTCGCAGCAGGACTCCGGAGCCGCAGCGGGACAGGAGTCCCATCTTCCCTCCCAGCCCTTCACCCTGGCCTGTCCGCGCTGCGCCGGCCCCAACATGGTGGGATCCCTCCGGGGCCCGAGAGCGATCCTACCAGGGATGGGGGCTGCTCTGTGACTCCTAGGCCCTGAGAGAGAATCCTCCTGGGAGTACCATCCTCATTGGTGAGGTCCCTCACCTGGTGCTCGTGCCTGCTTCTGTGGCCCCTGGCTCTCCCCTGTCCCTACCCCTTTACATCTTGTTGCTTCTCCAGCTTCTCTTTGAAATCAGAGGGACCTGGGTTCCAAGCCCATTTCCACTACTGGGCAAGTAATTCCCTTCTCCCTGTGCCTTGGTTTGCTCATCTGCAAAATGGGCACAGTCGTAGGTACCTTGCAAGGCTCTCTTGGAGATTTCATGAAACTAGCTGCGTTCTGTGGGCACAAGCTTTATAGGGGCTCAGTAGATGTTGTTTCTCCAAGCCCTTTAACTTGTCACACTGGGAGAATTAGAATAAAAGATGTATGAATTAGAGCTTACATATTGAAGGTAGACCAGACTTCCTTCTCTCTACTGCATCCCCACCCCTGAAAACATTCTGTGTACAAAAGGGAGGAGCAGCAGAATCAGCACTTAGATTAACTCAGGGTGCTTGTGGCCCTGAATAATCCTGTCTGAAACGTTGCAAGACTGTACTGAGAACATAGCCTGGGTTCAAATCCTGCCTCCACCACTTAGTAACCATGTGACCTTGAGCAAGCTACTTAACTCTTCCTGGGCCTTGATTTCCTCATCTTTAAAATGGGATAATAGCAGCACATACCTCAAGGTTGTGAGGATTAAATCAGTTTATGTTTGAAAAATCCTTAGGACAGGGCTTGGTACATGGAAACCGCTCTGTAAGTGTTAGCTTGCATTGTCGTTACGTGTTAAGCACAGGCTTCATTCTTGCACATCCTGCACAGAGCCAGGGTGACTGCCTGGGGTGGGGGTGGTGCTGTCCGTTTGACCACAGTCCCTTGGGTGCTCCATCTCATTAAGTGAGGATAAACAAGTGTATCCGGACCCAGGCCTACTGCCTTGCCACTTTCTTGGTTGTGGCCACAACTCCCTTTGTCCTTAGACCCTCTTAGCTCTGGCAGGAGGGCAGTAAAGTGGGAACAAATGTTCCGAAGGACTCCATTTATGGCCCTGGGCTAGCTCACAGAGCCATCGCAAGCGCAGCTGGTCTTGTGTCCAGCTCTGGAACTGGACGGGGACCACCCAGAGGGTAACTGAAAGGCAGAATTGGGGAGCCGTGAGGGGGAACTGAGAGGGCGTGCGTCCTGAGAGTGGCTAGAACACTTGGTGGTTATTACCCACATAGCTCTCAGACCTGGCCCACTTCCACAAATCTGTGACTGTTGCCAGGCTGTGTCACACACCAGCGTCCCCCGCACAGGTCAGTTGGTGCTCTGGTCTGGATGTCTGTGCACTCCCCTCTCCCAGATCCTTAGGTGAAAATCCAAACTCCCAGAGGACTGAGACACAGGTTCCCCTGTTAGGACTGGCACAGATGCACTGCACAAAGGTGTCCCTTGAGAGGTTCAAAGGGCCTAGAAATGGCAGTCGATACTCTGCTTTCCAAGCTGTGGCTCCTAGAAAAAGACAAAGCTTCCGCTGTGTTCCTGAGACTGGGTCTGCCCAGAGGGAGCCTCTTTTTCTAGTCCCCCCAAAGCCCTGGAATAGTTAGCAGCACCTAATACCTGAACTTGTGAGCACACATCCATACTTTACTGATATGGACCGCACCCCAGAGGGCCTGCCTCCCTAGACTTTCTCCTGGCCCTTGATACTGGAAGCCCCAGAGGGGAATGCCCTGGTGACTAAACAGGCTCACCTTTGGAGCGTGGCTGCAGGCAGTTTCCTGCCTCATCCTTGGGGGCTTGTTAGATAGATGTTCCTGGCAGCGTGCCTATCCTGGGTAGGCCTGAGGTGACCGTGGGGACTCGGCACAAGGGCCCACGGCCCCTCCCTCACAGAAGAGGGAGAGAGGCATGGAGGGAGAGCCTGCACCTCCCTTTCAGGCTACCTGCCCTCCCCTACTGCATTCCCACCCAAGCTCCCCAAGGGCCCGGATGCCTAGGGACAGTGAGCTGTGTCTGTGGTTTGAAACAAAGTCTCTAGAAGTGGAGTGTCCAGGGCATGTGTGGGATCCTTCCTAGGGAACCCTCACTGCTGTTAATCTGCAGCAGATTCCTGGGACCGTGAAGGAGGGGCTTCCCCATTTGTGGTCTCGTCCAGTGGCCCAGAGGGGGAGGGGAACTGGGGACTCCAGGGCCCGCTGGGCAAGGAGAGGCCTTAAAGGGACGTTACTTGTCTCTGTGGAAGGAACGCTTCAAAGAAGTGTGTGGAATTTTGGTTCTCTTGTGCTGGAAAGTGTAGTGTGAAGTTCCAGGACCAAAGACTCAGAAGAGGAGAGCTGCCGAGTGGAAATAATGGCGCCGGGTGTGTGAGCTGCAAGGCCAGTGCCTCCCAGCGGGCTGTGTAGAAAGAAACAAAGCAAACCTCCTTTGGCTCATGAAAGTCTTATTGAGTTCCCTTATTTGGGCAATTAAGAGGAGTTATTAATTTCCCCCCTGCCCCAGAAGTGCCTGTCTGGAAAGGTCTGGACACAGTGTTTCCAAACCAGATTGGAAATAAATCCATAGGCCTTGCAAACTGCAGTCAACAAAACCCCATTGAGCCGGGGAACTGGGCATTGGCACAAATCAGCTGCCTGTCCTCTGACCCTGGAGTGGACACCCAGGGTCATGGCTACCCCGAGAAGCCCCCAGTGCAGGCCGCTTTCGAAGTCTTGCTGGCTGGTGACAGGCCTTCCTCCTGAATGTGGCCTCAGCTCCACATGAGCGTTTGTCTTCGGCTCTGTCCCGTGGCCTGGCATCTTCGTGGCCCCTTCAGAGCCAAGGGAAAGAGCTGTAACTCTGGGCGCTAATAGCTAGGCTTTGAAGACTCACTTGCCTCCTAACTGCACCACCTGGGGCAAGCTGGGAATAATGGCAGGACCCATCTCACAGGGCTCTGAGCGGATTACAGGAAATAATGTATGGAAAGTGTTTGGCCCAGTGCCTGGCACGTGCTCCGTCCCCAGTAAAAGGTAGCGGCCTCTGTTCTCTGTGGTGGAAATTCCCTGCCTGCCTCGCTTGGTGAGGTTATTTGCAACCATTTGGGTGACACTGAGCGCTGGCTGTAGGCAGCCCCTCTGCTAGCTGCCAAGACCAGCCAGGTCAGGGAATGGAATAGTGCAGGTCCCACCCCCTGCTCTGGGGTGGAAGACAAAGCAAGTCACCCAAGGGGTCCTGCTGAATTTAGTGCACTTTTTAAGTGCTCCTGGTTCAGCTCTTTGAAGTTCTTCTTTGCCCCTAAGAACTTCCTCTGCCTGGGGGTGGACCCCACATCTCCCTCTGCCCTGCCCCTCACTGGTTCCACTCTGCCCTGTGTATAACCCACATTCGGCTGGGTGTTGAAATGCCTGTAAGCCAGCCCAGCAAAACTCTAAGCTTACACAAGTTTGGGGGGCACATCTGGATACACCTGCACGTTCTTCCTCCACGCAAGGGAGACAGAAGATGGCACAGAGCCGGGAGAAAAGGCTGGACTCGGCTTATGTAGTCACTCTTTCCTTTGTCCCCTTCTAGAGGCTGTGGCCTGACCCCCGCCCTGCCGTGGGTGCTCAGGATGGGTGGAGAGGCCTCTGATGGGGCCCTCCCCAGGGGTCCCCGCCCCTCCTCCTTGCAGTCTGTCCTCCCGGCCAGGCTCCCCTGTGTCCAGGGTGGAGAGTGGCTCACATGGAGTTTGCTGTCTTGGGACAGATGCCCGAGGTCCCGTAAAGGCTCCACCCCATCTCCCGCCATCCTCAAGGCCATAGGCAAGCCTTCTCCATGTGCCTGGCCCTATGCAGTCTCCCTGGTCCTTTTTTAGCCGCCACTCCTCTGTGAGCCTCTCCAGTTCGGGGCAGGACCACCTGCAGCCCTGAGGTGGCACAGCCGGTGTCCTCACGTTTGTGTTGCAGTGTTTCGTGTCTGGAAGAAGGTAGAAAGTAAGGTAGTGGGTATAGAGCTACTGCGGGTGCCAGGCTTGGTTGTCTTGTTTCCCCTACACGGTGGGAAAAGTTATCCCCATTTTACAGATAAGACAGCTGAGGTTCAGAGAGGTGACGTATTTTGTCCAAGGCATATGGCTCTGCCTCCCTGAGATCTGACCTGTTCTCTGTGGGATCTCTCTGCTCTGCACTGGTGGGTCCTCTGAAAAGCCCATCTTGACGGTTAGTAGGGTTCAGAGAGGTGGGGCTGTGGGGAGGGGGTTTCAGTGGGTCCAGTAGACAGAAACCTCTCATTTTATCATAACTGCTACTAAATGGGGGCCAAATGAGCAGACTCCTCTCCTTTTTGGCCTCCCCTTGCTCATCCTCTGAGGGGTGCTAACAGAAACAGGAAAGAAAGCTGCCCAGGATGGGGCACCCACCGTGTG